AAAAGTTGGTAATTGCTAAAGCTAGGAGTTTGCATACTCTATGACCCAGTAATTTCAGTCCTAGGAATATATTCATCAGAAATGCAGACCTGTGTCCACCATAATTTGTTAATAGCCCCAACTGGAAACTACCCAAATGTTCATTAATAGTAGAATGGATAAATTGTGGGATATTAACACAATGGAATCCTTTTTGCAGTAGTAAGAATGAACATAGCAGTATGGACAAATCCCACAAACATAATGTTGAAATAAAGATGCCAAACACCAAAGAGCACATATTGTACAATTAATGCACATAAAGTCCCTAAACAGACAAAATTAATCTATGTTCTTAGAAGCAGGATTAATGGTATACTTGCAGGGTAGGAGAGTAGTGACCAGAAGAAGATTCTAGGAAGCTAGCAATGCTGGTGTCATGCCAGACCCCTGGTGACTCCAGTAGGAATGGTACTGTGTCCGAGAGGCCAAAGAAGACATGTGTAGACAACGAACAAGACTTGGGTTTATTGGGGGAATTTATATATAGGGATGGTCCAGTGGTAGTAGGCTGAATGGAAGAACCACTACTGTTTGTAAAAAGCATGCAGTTTATATAGCATTGTCATTTAGTACACTCCACCTAGCAACCTCCATTTAACCCAAAGCAAAGGACCTTGATCCCCTGTATTGCCTGTGTTGTAAGGGATGCGCTGGGGGTTCAGATGTCCTGCATAGATAAGGAGTGAAACTCAGGATTAGTCACTCCTGATTCCTTAATTTGGGATTCTGAGCACACACTCATTTTAGATCACAGGGTCATTGTCAGAGTATGGTTGTTACTGCTGTCAGGTGCATCTGCTGTATAGTGGGGTACTGGCTACACAGTTTTTGTTCACTAGTGATAATTCTTACAGCTGTGCCTTTATGTGTTTTCTTCTGTGTATTATACTTCAATAAAAAGTTAAATTTTAAAAAACCTAGTAAGACTTTCTCTTGCTGCCTCCCCCTGTGGCTTTGGGGAAAGAATTGACTCTTCACAAATGCTACCCTCTCTAAAAGTATTACATCTCCATGCTCTGTCTCAGCTTAATTCCTCTCAAGGATAAAGGTTATCAAACAGTCTCTTGTTTCCAGGAGTATTTAATAACTCAATTATTCCAGCTGTAATCTGAATCTTGTTTACTACCCTCTGAGGAAAAGGTGTGTGTGCATGTGTGTATATGTAATTTTTTCTCCACCACACCAGGTAAATTGCAGGAGCTTTTATTGGAGAAGCTAAGAAGTGTTGAATAAGAGAGCTACGATCCAGGAATATAGTTATCATTGGAGAAATCATTCTCCTTTTCTTGGATGAAAGTGGCAAAGAGTGAACCTAAGTTTAATGGTAGTGGAATACTAAATGGCTATTTGACAAGGTAATTGTGATTAAAAAAATCCCACAAGTAATTTCATAGGATAATGTCAGAGGGAAAACCTGTAAGAACAAGCCACTCCTTTCTTCTCTCCTCTACAGTGCTCACTCAGCCACGTAAATTGATTTGGAGTTAGAGGACCTGAGTCTGATTCTATCTTCTATGACATTCTTGCTAAGTGAACTGTGGAAAAACCTTTCACCTCTCTGAAAAATGGAGATGAGGATTAGCAACCTGGTCAGAAACCATATCAACTGCATGTTTCATTTCTTTTGCATTTTTGCGTTTACAGGCCAAATGTGTCTGTGCAGACCCTTATTGCTTCTGACTATTGTATAGGAGAGAGGGGGTTTGACCAGATAATTCTTTTTACCCATGTATAAGCCACTTCTGTTTCGTTTTTTGTTTTGCTTTGTTTTGTTTTTTGTTTGGTACAGATGGGATCTCATCGTGTTGCCCAGGCTGGTCTTAAACTTCTGGCCTCTTGCCTTGGCCTCCCAAAGTGCTGGCATTACAGGCATGAGCCACCAGCACCTGGCTATAAGCCATTTTCTTTCTTGCTTTTTTTTTTTTTTCGATACAGAGTCTCACTTTGTCGCCCACCTTGGAGTGCAGTGGTATAATCTCAGCTCACTGCAACCCCCGCCTTCTGGGTTCAAGTGATTCTTGTGCCTCAGCCTCTTGAGTAGCTGGGATTACAGGTGTGCGCCACTACGCTCAGTTGATTTTTGTATTTTTAGTAGAGAAAAAGTTTTGCCATGTTGGCCAGACTGGGCCAATTTCTTATTGAAGTGTTCGGGTGGGCAAGCTCCCTCCTTCCCCACTCCTAGAGGCAAAGAAAAAAATCCCCAAAACGTGATGACAACAAATATGTGTGTGTTCAAAATTAAATTTGTGTTCTTGGTAAGCCTCATGATAGAGCCACTTACTTTATTTTTAATGGATTATCTAAGTCAGTTTTCCAGATAACCAGCCAAGTTTATCTCAAGATCAGAATTATTTTCCCAAAGCTATAGACAGGATGAAACCAAGGAATAGTAGCTCAATTGCACAAGCAAATTTCTGAAAGATGCTGGAACTTCTTCAGAGTTAATGGAAAACCTTGCAGGAATCATGGTGTATGGTAATAATCAAATGACACTTCACTCCTCTCCTACTTCTATGTCTATCTGACTTAATAAAGTTCCCTATATTTAGGCATCTATTTATATCATGAATCCTCATGAAACTCAGACAATTTTACACCACGTTGATCACATAAAATGATGTAAAAAATAACTGGGGAAATTCTCTTTTAACGTACATCCCAGAAAAAAAAAAAATAGAAACACCACATTTTCATTCGAGTCTTTTGAGAAGACCTCACATTTTCTTCCAAAGGCAAGTACCCACTGACTTAGAAAGAGTGGTGCTTAAGAGCAAGATCTTTGTGCCTTGGTTTCTCCATCTACCTATAACTTATGAATCAGACAGTGTACATAGAGGGCCTGGCAATTAGTAAATGATTAATATTACTACCGTTGCTATTACTGTTTTAAATTATCAATATGTTCATTTATAAATTTGCTGCCTCTTCCAATAGAAAATCAGCCCTATGATACTAGAATCTTACCTGTTTTGTATAGGCAATGCTGAATGTGTCTCAAATGGAGCATAAAAGCAAAGTCTTTTGGTAAGGATGGGATTTAGGGTCAAAGGAAATTCCCCTGAGGAACTCTAAAACTGACATTATCTTAAGTTTTAGCACTTGGGGAATTTTCAAAGACTTTCCAAAAGGATAAGTATATCATGATATGTAGGTATAAATACCATGACAACTGCAGAGTTATTTTAATCCAAGTCTGTTGAGGCTTTATTATGTGACACAGCAATGTGAGGGTTAAACAAGGTAACACGGAATGATACACTTTGTTCTTCAAACTTATTTGGCAAATCAAGGGTACTGGTACTTTATAACAAATAGTAGTGTCTAAGTCAAGTTACACCTCAACTATACCAGGAAAAAGAAGGACAGGAAAAAATTAACACACGGTGAAATTTTACTGTGCACCAACATTATATTTTACACATCAGGTGGGCCGTTATGGAAATTAAGAACTCTGCACAAAATGTATTTTTTTTTTAAAGTTTTGTATCACAAAAGGAACATATTTTCTTCTAAAAATGATTAGAACATACAGGTAAACAAAATAAAAATAATCCTATCGTACAAATTAAAAACAAAACCTGAGAAGTTCTGATCAGGCTTGCCTAAAATGACAGTTGAAACCAGAGCCATTTTAAGAATGCAAAATATGAGATTAGTTTTGTTCAAAAATAATTATCCATAAAAGTTAATAGATGTCTGCACACAGTTACCATAAGAGGTAAGCCTTTATGTATTTTTACTTCATAATGTTGAATTTCTATTAAAATCTATTACAAGAAAGGGAAAGTAACTTTCCAGTAATATTCAGATTTTTTAGTAATACTGAGCCTACATTTATGGGACATCTTTTTATAATGTTTGTCCACTGAATATTTTAAGTTATGTTTGTCATAGGAAATTAAATTTGCTTACCATTCTTACGATAATTTCTTCACTTTCCTCATTTGGTTATACTTAATTAGTATAAAAGACTTGTTGATTTTTTTTAAATTAAGGACATACTAAATTTCCCCCTGAGATAGTTATTTTGGAGTAATATAGATAAGCGACTCAGATTAACTTCAAAACAAACCACCATACATTCCATTCAATTCATTTTTGCCAGGCATTGTTTTAGCCTCTTTATACAGCCATGTACAAAATAGACAAGATTCCAGCATCATGATGCTTATTTTCTATTCTAAGTCACAAAATAGACCAAAAAACAAAAAACAAAAAACCCTCCCATAATCTCAGAGTGATAAGCATTTTCAAGAAAATTATATAGGACAGCGGGGTAGAGAATGACCAGGCCTACCACAGCTAGGGTGGTCAAGGAAGGCCTCTCTTGAGTTTGAGCTAAGAGCTGAATGAGCATGGCAGAGAGAAACAGTTAACGTGGATACTTTCTTTCTTTCTTTCTTCCTGGGACCAGACCGTTTCGAAGTCTCCATACCTCCGTTTACCCTAACAGGTCATGAACATATAAAACCTCTTATATTACAGGCAAAAATCCGAGGTTCACAGATTAGTAGGGCAAGTAACTGATTCTGAAGTGTGTACTTGCCTTTATGATACTGGATACACACTGGTGTTAACAAGGAGAACGATGTACGTAGCAGAGGTTCGAAGATTACTGGACATGTTGGCTCCAACCTGAGTTTATCCTGGCAGGCTCTAGGTAGAGAGGCTCAGAAAACCTGCGTCCATCCTTCCCAGCTTTCCTCCCATTTCCGAAACCATGGTCCTGGCTTCGAGTCTAGAAAAAAGGAATAAGTAGACAGAACTCCCAAAGGACAGCTTTCCTGGCTGACCAAGATGTAAACAGTTTACGTGATGATTTCCAAGCAAGTGCAAAAGTACAGGTGCAAAAGAAGACGGCGGACACCAAACTTCCCCTGCGGCCACGCCCTCCCCCCTTTGGGGGTCTGGGTCCCTGGGAGGGAAGGCCTCCTCATTGGTGTTCAACGCGTTACGTCACTTCCGCTGCTTCCACGGCAGGCGTCGCTAAATGACGTCGCCGTTTCCGGGTCACTGAGGCAGCCTGTGGCGGCGAAGGTATCAGTGTTCGCTGATGTCCAGTCTATGGAGTCAGTCGGTGTCGGTGGCGGCGCGGAGGCAGGAGGCGGTGTCCGAGTAGGGGCCCGTGCCCCGCCAGGATGTTACCGGGTTTGGCCGCCGCCGTCGCGGCCCACAGATGTAGCTGGTCCTCCTTGTGCCGGCTCCGTCTGCGATGCAGGGCGGCGGCCCGTGGCCCCCGCGACCGCCAGGGTGAGTGTCCCGCGCTGGCCGCTGGCTCCGTAGAAGCCGAATTGGAGGGCCAGAATGGGTTCGGCGCCTCGCCTGGGGCAGGTCTCCCGCTTGCCTTTCGCCAACCTCAGAACCTTCCTTTCCGGCCTCCGCCTTTCCAGTTCACCCTGCGCAGCCCGCGGGTGTCCTGACAGGTCTCCCTGACTCTGATGCCTCCTGCAGCCCTAGCATGGCCCCCGCGGGAACTTGTGGGCATCTCGCGGGCCGGATTGAACCTCTGAAGCCTACTGCTTTTTACCAAACAAAATGTTACGTGCGCATCGCGGTGTCCCGCGGTGACTCACCTCCGCGGTTGGAAATTGCGGACTCCGCAAAGTTCCAGGGTCTTTGGAGCTTTCCAGCGCACCTTCATTTAACACTAGGTTGAGATTTTCTTGGCCTGTTCTTTTTCTTATACTCCCAACTTATTTTCTTAAATTTTCTAAAAGGAAGGAGGAGTGCTACTCAATACGGATCTTTCGGAAGAAGTACGAAAGTATCCGACGATCATTGAATGAACCCAGTTTGGAGCCGAAAAACAAAGGAACTCTTCAGCTCGGCTGAGCAGTCTTTTTGGTGAAAAGGTGTCAGTTGTAATTGTAACCCAGAAAAAAAGGTGGTTGAAGAGAATTTTCATCTCTCTCAACATTCTTTTCTGACTCAAATTTAAATGGTTTGAGAGTTTCCAAAATAACATTGAACTTCTAATAAGGCTTACCTTCTTTTTTGCCGTAGCTTGACACATTGCTTGACACTGAGAACTGATAGGAACTCTGAGGGAGAAGACAGAACTAAGTCCACCCTTAATCTAATCCCTCCATTCTTAGGATGCAGAGAGTATTTACCGAAACATTCATGTTTGAAGCCATGCATGGTGGTGCGCTCCTGTAGTCCAGCTACTCGGGAGGTTGAGGCAGGCAGATCTTTTGAGCCCAATAGTTCTAGGCTACCCTGGGCAATATAGTGAGACCTGTCTCTAAAAACATGTCATGTTTGAAAAAACCCGTAGCATGTTTGTGACCTCCTGAAAGAAGGTGGAAGTTGCAGTCATTCGAGATTTTATGTAATATAAGCTATAATAACTGTGCTGTGCATATAAATTAGAATATATTCATATCTTTTATTTGCAACAAATGTAAAAGCTGGCTCTTAAAATTTCAAACGGATAAATTTTAACAGCACTATTCCCAGGGCTTTTTGGTAGTGATAGAAAAGTGTAACTGTTGAGTTTTTCCATATTGGCAATATATTGCCAGGTTCTCTTATGGACAAAATGAATTGTCGGCTGAGTGCAGTGGCTCATGCTTGTAATCCTCAGGAGGATTGTAAACCTTAGCACGCTGAGGTGGGTGGATCGCTTCAGCCCAGGAGTTCAGACCAGCCCGGGCAACATGGCAAAACCGCCTCTCTACAGAAAATTAGCCTGGTTTGGTGACACACGCCTGTAATCCTAGCCTGTACTCCGGAGGCGGAGGTGGGAGGATCGCTTGAGCCCAGGAAGTTGAGGCTGCAGTGAGCCTTGAGTGTGCCAGTGCACTCAAGCCTGGGTGACAGAGTGAGACCCTGTCTCAAAAAAAAAAAAAAAAAAAGAAAAATGAATCATCTCCAGAATCCCCAAGTAAGTTTTTAGCACAATTGTTTCTATTGACCAACCAATTTTGGCATTTTACACTGAAATTACAGTGGCTGTTAAATTTAGTCTAAACTGCCCTTTAAGTGTTGACAAAAAGGAGTAGAAACAGTGTAATTTGTAATCCCTCTTCTGTGTAGCTGTAATCATGTTGAAAATTATGTGTTCTTTGTCTCATCTGTCTGTGAAACATAGATAATTATTACCTATCTTAGTGGTCAAAATGACTTTGCAAAGTTGTTTGGAATGTTTATTACTACAAAAAATTAAAATGTTTTTTCACACTTAAAAATGCTTAGTAGATTTTTAAAAATAACTTTGTGAAAATTTAGTTTCAATAATGAAGCATTTCTTAAAAAGGCAACCATTATTATGGCAAAATTTAAAAATCATTTAGAAAAAGAGTACTATTTAAATTGGATACATGTGAGAAGACTATTTGAAGAACTTTTGGAGAAAGAAAATCTAAAAACAGATGTTTTTATTTGTCTAGAAGTAAGGTTTAGTTTATGCTTCTAAAATGCCTGTGACTGGGAAAAACTTGTAAAGCGTAAAGAGAGGAGGAAACCTTGAGGGATTGCTTGAATACTTAAAAATGAGAAATGCCTTTAAAGGCAAAATAGAAACTGTCTAAAAGAAATATGAGAACCCTGTTTGTAATTTTGAGTTGTCTGATAGCCATATTTAAAAAAAAACAAAATTAAAGATTAATTAATTTTAATATATTCTAGGATTAATTTAAATAATGAAATTAATATATTTTAATAATAAAATTAAAATTTAATACTATTTTATCAAGTATATTCAAAATATTTCAACATGTAATCAATATCAAAATTATTGAAGTATTTTACATCGTCTTTTTGTACTGTCTTTAAAACCCAGTGAGGTTTTTTTTTTTTTAAATTCTTTTTTTCTTGGCTTTTTTTTTTTTATTATACTTTAAGTTCTAGGGTACATGGGCACAACGTGCAGGTTTGTTACATATGTATACATGCACCATGTTGTGCTGCACCCGTCAACTTGTCATTTACATTAGGTATATCCCCCAGTGCCATCCCTTCCCGCTCCTCCCACCCCACGGCAGGCCCCGGTGTGTCATGTTCCCCTTCCTGTGTCCAAGTGTTCTCATTGTTCAGTTCCCACCTATGAGTGAGAACATGCGGTGTTTGGTTTTCTGTTCTTGCGATAGTTTGCTCAGAATGATGGTTTCCAGCTCCATCCATGTCCCTACAAAGGACACAAACTCATCCTTTCTTATGGCTGCATAGTATTCCATGGTGTATATATGCCACATTTTCTTAATCCAGTCTGTCATTGATGGACATTTGAAAACCCAGTGAGTGTTTTACACTTACAGCACATCACAGTTCAGACTAACCACATTTTAAGTGCTCAGTAAACAGTGACTACTCAATTAGATAGTGTAGAGTTAGTATCTTTAAGTTATAAAGAATTTTTACAAACCAGTATACATTCCAGTAGGAAAATGGACAAAGGAATTGAATACAAAGTTCATAAAGTTCTTCAAGTGGTCAATAAAAATGCAAAAATGTTCCATACTTACTAAAAAACAGAAACTTTAAAGGGTTTTACTTCTCACTGCCTATCTCATTTTTGCCGAATTTTTCATAATGATGATACCGCATATTGAGGGTGTGGGAAAACAGGAACTCTCTTAACTACTGATTGAAAACTTAAAAGGTTTATGCCCTCTGACCTAATAGTTTTTACTCAAAAGGATTTACTTTAAAGAAATAATCAGATACATATTAAAATGTTTGCAGAGTTTACTATAGTAATAAATTGGTAGTTTATAGTTATGGAGAGTTGGAAACTGAAATATATTATGATACATTTATTATGGGCTGGTGATATTTACAACCATTTTTAAAAAACTTATAATTCAGGGCCGGGTGCGGTGGCTCACTCCTGTAATCCCAGCACTTTGGGAGGCCGAGGTGGGTGGATCACCTGAGGTCAGGAGTTCGAGACCAGCCTGGCCAACGTGGTGAAACCCCATCTCTACCAAAAGTTAAAAAATTAGCTGGGCGTGGTGGCAGGCACCTGTAATCCCAGCTACTTGGGAGACTGAGGCAGGAGAATCACTTGAACCCAGGAGGCGGAGGTTGCAGTGAGCTGAGATTGCGCCACTGCACTCCAGCCTGGGCGACAAGAGCGAAACTCCATCTCAAAAAAAAAAAAAAAGAAGTTATAATTCAGAAGAATAGTGACGTGGAAAGTACTCTTGTGTTGTTAGGTAAAAACTGTAGAAAAATACAGTAAAAATATATACTGTGATATCAACAGTGAGTTTTCATGTCTAAAATTTTTTTAATTTGTGTTTTACAAATGATCTATAGTAGACATATACTTCTAAAGAATAAAAATGTTACTTAGTTTCTGTAGTAAGTATATCCTTTTTTATAAAAAGTTCTTTGGGTTAGGATAGAGCACGTATTTCTTTTTTTCATGTATTTACAGGTGGCCTCATTTGGCAAACATTTGAGAGGGGAAGACGCTTAAGTATACTAGATGAACACTGAAATTAATAAAAGTGTAATTTTAAAATAGAAAATAGAAATCAAACATACTCTGTTATTATTGTCTCTAATCTGCTGGTATTTATTGTCATAAGGAAAGTAGACTGAGAATTTAACTTTTATCCCCAGCAGAGGTCCCTCCTCCTCCTCAAACTCTTTAAATAACTAAGAGTATTGACAGTTACAAAAGACCAGCATGGCCAATATGGTGAAAGCTCGTCTCTACTGAAAATACAAAAATTAGCTGGGCATGGTGGTGGGCACCTGTAATGATAGCTACTTGGGAGGCTGAGGCAGGAGAATTGCTTGAACCCAGGAGGTGGAGGCTGCAGTAAGCTGAGATCGCGCCATTGTACTCCAGCCTGGGCAGCAAGAGCAAAACTCCGTCTCAAAAAAAAAAAGAAAAAGCAAGCAAACAAACAAAAAGACCATTTGGGCAGGTCGACAGAAAGATTCTATGCAGATCAAGTTCATTGTAGAATTTATTGTACTTAAGTATAAAATGAAGCTAACTGTAGTATGTACCTCCTAGAGTTGTTGTGAATGAGAATCAGCATTGGATGCCAGGCATTATTGTTGCTGATAATGTAGTGCTGAACAAGGTAGTTGGTTTCCACCTTTCTTCCATCAGAAGTAAATATATTTAAAGTGCCATAGAAGAGATAGGCAGGACGATGGGCTAGAAAGTAGCCAGGACGGGCTAGTTCATTAGATAAGATGGCCTGGGACTCCAACTTTTCTGAGGTGATGACTGAGCCTAGGCATGAAAGATGAAAATGAGCAAGCCATGTGAAGGTCTGGGAGAAAGA